GACACGGCTAAGCTCTTCTTCAAGCATGTGGTAAAGTATTGGGGTTTTTCGAAGTTTATCATCAGTGATCGGGATAGTTGGTTCACAAAGAGATTTTGGACCGAGTTGTTCAAGCTTATGGGGTCGGTGTTGCACTTTTCCACAAGCTTTCACCCTCAAATCGATGGGCAAACCGAGAGAGTGAATGCCTTGTTGGAGATATATCTACAACACTTTGTGAGCGCCAACCAACTTGATTAGGCAAAGTTGATTGATGTAGCCCAATTCTCATACAATTTGTAGAGGAGTGAAGCCACTAACAAGACCCTATTCGAGATGGTGATGGGTCAACAACCATTCATGCCGTACATCTTGGGTACAAGTTATAAGGGTAGTAGCCCCGCATCATTCAAAGTTGCTAAGTCATGGCATGAACAAGCCGACATCACATGAGCGTATCTTGACAAAGCAACCAAGAAGATGAAGAAGTGGGCAAACATGAAGCGGAGGCATGTGGAGTACAACGTGGGAGATCTAGTATTGTCAAAATCCTCCCATCACAACACAAGTCTACCCGGCCACTACACAAAGCCCTTGTCCAAAGATATGAGGGGCCATTTCCCATAATTAAGAAGGTCGGTAATGTATCCTACAAGCTTGAATTGCCCTCTTGGTTTAGACTCCATCCGGTCTTCCATGTGAGTTGTTTGAAGCTGTACTATGAAGATGCAGAAGATCTGGGAAGAGAAGAATCAAAACAGGCACCATTTGGCAATACCAAGTTCTATGACAAAAAGGTGGAGTGTGTGTTAGCCGATCGTGTCATTCGACGAAAGGGCCATCCTCCAAATCAGGAATACTTTGTCAAATGGAAAGGGCTACCGAAGAGTGAAGCTAGTTGGGAACCCGAATATGCATTGTGGCAATTCAAAGAAAGGTCCAAGAATTCCACGAAGAGTCGACGAGGACATCTCTGGATTTGGTGGGGGAGAATGTGATGCCTCTCAAGCATTTCATCAAACACTTGGTGTGCGTCACCCCGACACTCTAGAACCTTTTAGAATACTCTTGTATTTGCTAGAATCTTGTAATTAATACTGTAGTTGGTAGGTGGTAGTTTGGAGTTAGCTAATCTCCACCGTTGATTGTGGAAGATCTAGATCGTCCATTGTAAGCTCCATCTACTATAAAAAGGGGGGAAGGGGTGAAGGGGTGGGGGGGCTTCATTTGGCCAAACCATCCAAGAATCGTAAAGCTTTCTCTCATTAGTAAAGAGTTCTCTTCTAGCATCTCTTGTGAGTGAGTTTGTGTGAGTGTTCTCTTATTTGCAAGGCCATAAGTGTGAGTGAGCAAGGCTGACTTAGGGTAATCGTCGGGAGATTGACACCTAAGGCTGCGCGAGTCCAAAGGGAAATAGTTGGGTCGTGACACTAGGCATAAATTAAGACCACCTTTTGAATTATACTTAATAAATGTTTTGAAACTTTTCTGATCAACCCACATGATAAAAAAAAAAAAAAAAAAAATAGTAAAGTACAGAACAAACTGTATATTCAAATAGTTAGGATACAAAGACGAATGTAAAATTTTTTAATATTATTATCATGTGTGATTTATGAATAATTGCACGTATGTACCCATAAATCTGGTGCAATAATAATATTTATTATGATTATATATATATATATATTAAAGAGTTTCTTGTTGTTTTCTTTTTTATTTTCTTTTATAAATTTGATTTGTGGAAGTAAAACGTTTACATTAGTAGTAAAAGGGAGTCATTGGGGCTCTTATTTAACCAATAGTTTCTGGATTCTAAAGAATTAATTGAGGTATGTGTAAGAAGGTTCAAACACCCAATGATTTTAAAAAAAAGAAAAAGGAATTCATTGGCGGAAATGGTTCACATGCCCAGGTCTTCAAATTACTAATGTAATTGTAATAATTATGATGACAAAGTCATGCTTTCAGTCTTTTTTGAAGCAAAAGTAGATCGATTGTGTCACCAACCCCACAATTAAACTTAATTTTACATACTAATTTCTCAGCATTGGGAGGATTTGCCTTTTTAGCTCGACTTTTAAACAGATTTAGATCAATTCATAGCTTGGGCTATTGAGTTGTATACTTTGATTTTGTTGTCTTAATTTTTTTAAGTTCAATTATATGTGATGGAATTTATCGATCCGAAAGTTGTTATCCTACCCGATTCTAATGAGCATGAGAAGTAGCAAAATGGCTCTATAATTACAAGAAGGAATACAAAATAACAAGTGAAATGATACTAATTAATCATCTAATCCTTTAAGTGGCCCATCTTAGGATCCTGAAAAACCATAATTAGAATAAATAAGATCAAAGATAGTCCACAACCGCAAAATCCCTATATGGCATAAAGGATATAATAATATTAATAAGATGAGTAGACGACTTTTTTCCACCCAAGGTTTTCCTAAATGACACTTTTTCACTCAAAAAGTTTCAAAATGCCACTATCTCACCCAAAGTTAATATTTTGTTACTACCCAAAGCTGATTCCAGTTGCAAAAATTCTCTTCGTCACCATCATTTCAACCTTTGATCTACTCTCTACAAAAACCCTCTTACTTCAGCACCTAATTTCTCATCAATTGTTAGGGTTTTCTGCTCTTAGATGATTTCCGACTGATTTTGGCAGCGGATATTCAATCGGTCACCACTACTTGATCTACTGGCCTCCACTCTACAAAATCCTCTTACCCTGGCTTTTGGTCTCTCATCTAACGTCGGCTAAGAAAGTGGAGTTTATTTTTGGTATTAATGGAATATAAACGTTGGGTGGGAAAGTGGTATGTATTTTGAAACTTTTTGTGTGGGAAAGTGTTATTATGGCAAATCTTGGGTAGGAACAAGTCGTTTTCTATTTTAGGTAAATATAAAAGAAATTAATAGTTGCAAAATTGTGTAGGCTGTTAATGCGAGGTGGGATTTGTTGGAGTCCCACATCGACTAGGCATGCTCAAGCCTATTGGGTTATAAGAGGGGGTAATCCTCACATTCAACAAGACCTTATTGAGTGATGAGTCAGACCCACCTCAAATTCTATCAGGATTTAAGCTTTCGCTATGATTTCGTTTTGCATAATATATATAGAGATGCGATTAGAAGTAGAAGTGAGAAACATGTGTATAGAGAAAGCATTTTATTCGGCATCAATCGATTCATAGACTAAACTCCGATCATGTAATGTAAACCATTTACTTCTTTTTCTATTGGTGAGTGCTTCTATAATAATTGCGATAGAGGCCAACAAATAATCAATATTCATAATTACCTAGGTGAATTAATGAACCATAAAATAAGTCATTTGGAAGTTAGTTGGCATGCATTTTCCCTCCACTGGTTTAAGCATTTAAGTGATGAAACCAACGACCTAGATCTATAATTAGAACCTATCATTTTGTCAAGCTTTCCTCTTTCAATTACTAGAGATTGAATTAATAAATTTTATTCATTAACAATACAGCAGTGGGACAATTGTTCTCAATGCAAAAACAGAAAATTTCTCTTCATCAATTAATTAAGTTTTGTAAGAAATTAATATTTATTTTTGTGTTTCTAATAAAAAGAAAAGAAGCATGTGAAAGATTGATGAAAGTTTATTTGCGGCTTTCAATTGCTAATGCTTCATTTTATCAATTGAAAGTGTCCCATGAGTAGGAGCAAAACAATAATTAGTGTCCATTTCAGGTATGATATTCTAAAAAGTATTATTAAATGATTAAACATTTTTGTATGCCACAGGATTTGAGTTTGACAAAATATTTTTATTTAAAAATATTTGATAGAGAAGATTGAAGAGCTGAACTTTCTGCATTCTCACTCCCAGTTTGCTCGATTCTAGCCTTTAAATTCATGATCTCGGGATTTGGATTTGCCATTGACGTTTGTCTTTAGCTTTGATACCATAAAAAATTTTCTATGTATATGAGATAAACTCAGCAAAGTACACAAATAAAGGTACAAAGAAGAGAGACGAACAAATGAGTAAAGAAATCTAGAATTTTCACTTAACAGAAAACTGTTACAGAGGGGCTGTTTTATAGTATCCAGTTATACTAAAACGCACCGTTTCTTCAAAAATTTGGATCTTTACATTTAGACCCCTAACATCTTATATATCAAATACCCCTTAAACAAAGCATATCTACAACTTTGAGTTCCCTGTTACATTTCAGACTTTCATATATTTAATTTTCAGTGACATGATTCATATCTTTGAACACTGCTGTTGCTTGACTTATGGCTGCTTTTGGCTTCTGAGTTATCCCACAAAGTTTTCGGATTACAAAGAGAATGCCATAAATAGCAAGTGGCTATTATTTTATGTGAGAGACGCAATACATAAAGTGGTAGTTGTATAACGAAATAGTAAGATCTTTCGCTTCTTAGTTACGCTTACTGTTTAGAGGAGAAAAAAAAATAAAAACAATATAAAAGTCACCCATATGTCGGGGAGATGTTAAGGCAATTGATTAGCTAAATATATTTATCAGAATTTAATTAATTTCATGGGGCAGATACTTATATATATCGAATTATAGATGGGATGATGTTTCGCATTTGTTAGTGTTTGATCAGAAGTTAAACATTTGATTAGAAACAAGTGTTTATTCAATAATCCAAAAGGATATATATCCAAATGTTTAAATTAAATTAAACCAATTCACAAGTGTTGTGTTGTTAAGAACTTAATTTTTAGATAAATCTTCTGGTAACCATGCTTTGACATCACAATGCAACAGAACAACTTCTCTATTGAGCTTCATTGACTTTTGGTTTATCAGCTAATGTGGACATGTCCTATTTAAATATAGTGCTAATACGGACAAAAAGTTTTTTCTCAACTCAATCATTTTAATTGTTTTAAAAACAAATATAATTGGATTATAGGGCCCTCCCACTTCATGTTGCCTCATTTGGTGGACACCCCATCACCAAATATAAATTGATTTATATATATAATTGTAACACTAACCCTAGAACATTCCTATATAAATGCCACACTCTTCTCCATCATCTCCCACGAATTATACAGAAACTCTAATCTCTATTTGGGTAAGTAAATATTAGTTCTTTTGATTATGTAAAGTACACATATTCTGTAGTCTTTTATATTTCATTTGTATTAAACTTGAATTTTGTATGTTTTGAAATAACACAGTGTGAAAAGATAATCAAATCAGTGCAAGAATGAGGGTTCTAGTGGTTGCTCTAATCCTGATGACAGTGAACTCTTGTTTGGCTGCAAACAGAAGGGTTTTATTGGATGACGCTGACCAACAAGCAGTACAGGGCGACCAAGGATTGATTGAGGATGAGAATAATGTGAAAGTTGAGTATCCGCCCAACGATGTGAATAACCACCACGAATGCCCTAGGCCGGTTTTTAATCAACGTGGAGGTGAAAATTGCAATAGCACTGGATCGGGAGGTAGTGGCTAAAACCTATAAATATTATGTTATAATATAGTTTTATGTACGTTAAATATATGTTTGCGAGGTTTGAATAACCATGCCTGGTATTATATTACTTTATGTTTAGTAGGTGTTTTTGGATGTAGAATCAAGACCATATGTATTAGCTTGTAGATATCTTATTGTATGATAATATTAGTGAGTGTTATTTAATAATGTAATGTTATGTATTGTTTTACAATTAAAAACCAACGACTATCACGCATGAATTAATGCATGGCTGCATGATATCAGAAGCATGAACTATAATTAAGAACTAATGAAAAGTAAAGCTAAGATTTGAACTAATTCTATTTTATGCTCCCAAATATCCAAAGTGTGATCTTGGATCCTTGATGCAATTTGTTCTCATTAAAAGAATAACAAAAATAGTGAATTCGAATTGCAATGATATACAAAGTTTAGAATTAAAGTCGGTTTTTAAAAGAAACATTAAGTCGATAATTTGTGTAAAGTGGTCTTGTGAATTTCATTAACCAATTCCAATTAACTTATTAGAAGCTATATAAATAACTATACATTATCTCTTGCATATCTACGAATATCATTGTAATTGCAATATAACCTCATGATCTTAAATTATGAAAGCAATATCTTTATTAACTTATTATTATTATCTATCAATCAATAAGTTTATTTCATATATAGTTTAATTCATTTAGAAACTTGAAGTTATTTTAATTATAATTTTACTAGATAATATGACTAGTATACAATATTTATATTAACCATGCATGCAGATGCATAAATTACTATAGTTCTTGGGCCCAGAAGCCGATTCGATCTCTGGTCATATTGACATGGAAATGTATTCTATCAGGCCCCACTTGTATTTTATAGCATGGGCTTGGAACGAAGTTCGGATCATGATCAACCTGAAAAATAACAGTTGGACAGCCCGACTTACCAATTTGGAGTTGAATATTGAATAAAGGGATAATATCATTCTGAGGGCACGAGTTCTTCAAAACAACCCTTAGAGGACACAAATTTCATAAACAACATTTAACAGAAACACGTTCAATGTATATTATAGGAAGATCTTGGAACCAAGTTTCGGCTCAAATCAACCTGGAAAAGGGGAACAGTAGGCTGGCCCAACAGCCCGATTTACCAATTTGGAATAGACAAATGTGGGAGTTGAATATAATTTCCCTTGGGAATATTTGTCAATGTAGTATTACATTTGATAGAATATATATCAAACATTCATAATTAATAATCATCGGAAACCATACCATACATATTGAATCCATTAAGGGAAATCATACTTATATGTAGCTACATCTATTATATCAATAGATTTACTGTACTAAAAACTTTGGTTGTAATTAGGGGTGTCAACGAGCCGAGCCGAGCCGAGTTTTCGGCTTAACGAGCTCGGCTCGTGAGAGAAGAAGATTAATCGAGCCGAGCTGGAGCCGAGCCATGAAATTTGCGGCTCGGCTCGGCTCGGGTAAGAGTCTAGGATATATCGAGCCGGCTCGCAAAAATTCAATTTTTTTAGAAAGAAATCAAATTTTTTTTAGCCAGGCTCGGCTCGTGAGCCTAACGAGCCGAGTCGGGCATGGCTTGAACTCGGCTCGTTTTGGCTCACGAATCGAGCTGAGCTGAGCCATTAACGAGCCAGACTCAAGTCGAGTCGAGCCGGCTCGCGAGCAGCTCGGCCCGTTAAGCACCCCTAGTTGTAATGTTTTATCCTAAAATTTTGTTTGAAATAATATTTTATTACTTATACGTAGTGTTTGGTTCGGAGAATTTTTTATTACTGAAAAAATTAAATTACCACTAAGATAGATTACCTTGAAGATTAATGAGGAATGTTATATTAAGATGTTTGGTTAGATTGCTAAGTATAAGTAAATAATATGTTTGACTGGGAGAAATAAAATATTATCGGAGGGTTTTTACTGAATTGCCCTCCCTTTTTAATATTATTATTATTATTATTATTTAGAGCCCGTTTGGATCGAGTTGAAATTTTTTAACATGAGTAATATTTGTTTAATTGAGCATATAACCGTGTTTGACATTTTTGTACAAAAATTTCCCGAAAAATAAGATGACAAACAGTGCCAAAAAGGGGGTAAATTGCCGAGAATAACATTACCTAAGGGGGGGATGTTATTAAAACATTACTGTTAGAGTCATGAAAGTGACTCTATTTTGGTGATAAAAATACCCCATTTGTGATTAAATTGAAGTATATTGAGACAATTAAAGAATTTATGAATTTATTCACGAAAATAGCTTCCTAATATTTTTCTTATGAATTTAACGTGTTTGGAATGATTTTGGAAAGTATATGAGTTGATATTAGGTTGTGGTTTATGGATTAAGGGTGATTTTGTCTCATTTATGCTGTTTAGGGGGTAAAATGTCATGTTTTAAGGGGCTGATTTTGTCACTTTTCAATTATGTAGGGACTAAACTGATATTTTACAAATTGTTCTATAAAAGAGAAGTGCAAATCGCGTTTTCCAGGGAGGCTGTTCACCCAGTTTTCCGGCGACCCTTCGTCTCCCTTCGGCGACGATTCATCTCCCCATGCATCGTTCCATCATCAGCCAGCGCAAGCCGCCACCGTGAAACGCCACACAACACCGTGACGCTTCGCCTTCCACCACCGCGTTGTTTCGTCTTCCCGGCTAGTTTTGGCCGTTTTTCGACGACGATTCGGCTCCCCAAGGGTCGATCTCCCTTCCCCACAGCCGGATCTACACTTTCCTAGCTTCAGCCCCTGCGAAAACCGCCGGAATCCGCGATTTAGCCGCCGCAACTCTTCATCTTCCAGGCCAGATCCTGCTCATTTCCGGCAACTTCTCACCTCCCCAGGACCTGATCTGAACTCCCTATCACCAGAGCTTTCCATCGGTACCTTCGGATCCCATTTCCGCCACCGTTTTTTGGAGACCCGCCGGAAAATTAACGTTTTCTGGCGAACCGCGGCTGTTCGTATTTCGGGCTGTCCGTTGGTCATTTTTGGCCCTTCTTCGCATCATATCGCTGTCGGTTACCTCCTCTTCGCCATGATCAGCTCCGTTTCCACTGTTTCAGCCTCCGTCATCACCACCATGAGCGGCTGAGTTCCCGGTTGTCTGTTACGGTGTAGGCAAGATCGAGATTGACTCCACGGATCTCCTCATCAGCTCTTGACTAGTTGGATGAGCTCGAATGTTGGATATTTGGTTAAGTTTCTTGTATTCAGATTATATTTGTTTTCGTTTCAGTTTGTTTGCGATACTTTAATATTATTCTGATACTCGACGTGTTGAATTGATAATGTCCATTGAGAACGTTTATTGATATATAACTTTTCGCATAATTGAATGTCGGTTTGAGATTATTGAATGTTGATTATGACTTTAAATTGCTTCGGTACTGATTGCAATCAAGTTGTAGTAGCGTTTAATATCATTTCTACTAGGAATGCATTTATTGTGTAATTAGTTGATTGGATGATACAGGTTGATAGGTTGTACTTGTTAACGTTGTACCAACTAGTGGTGTTTAAGGGTTTAGCATTTTTCGGTTAGTCAATGATAGTCTTTAACCAATCGATCTGTAACTAAGACGACGGGGAGACAGGATAGATTATGCCTAGATTGCCGGGAGATATTTCTATGGATTTGCCTAGCCTTGTAGGATTAGGAAATTGAAGAGCGAGGAGAGGAATTGTGAGAGTTGGTCTTGAGTCAAACCGAACCCGTAGCGACAACGCTTTTAATATTGAGTTTTAGTTAGCAATTTATTTAATGCTTTTAATTTCCTGCAAGTAATTAGTTTCCTTAGTTTTAATCAATCATTTTGTCAATTTCTCTTTCGTTAACTCAAATACACATTAGGTCGTTAGTCTTGCTCTCTGTGGATTCGATCCTGCTTACCGCTACTATGGTATTTAGGTTTAATTTTTAGACTGTGACGATCGGTCTAACAATTACTCTGGTAATCATAATTTCTATCCAATCTTGCCCCTAAACAGTGGATTATGTGGACGAAAATATCATTTGATTTTTTAATAATTACAAAATAGCCAATTTGCACAAACAGACGTATTGTCCTCAGTTTTTTGATTTTCCGGATGAATCTGCCCTGCTTTTTATCATTTTTTTTTCAGAAATGCCACGAAGATTGGTGTACCCATATTATCCTTAGATATTTGCATATTGTGACTAATATGCCCTTGAACTTCATTAAAACTACATTATAAAAGAAAAAAAATTTCAAAATCGCACAAACAGGCATGATTTCCTTCTCTGCCCTAAACCTCGTTCGCCACCGCTGGAGTCTTCTTCTCGTCGATCTCGTTCGCTAGTTCGTTAGTCCGATCACTATTTCCGGTAAGTCGTTTGCCCTCTTTCCTTTGTATGTTGCGTGATTTGTTTGGATTGCAACCCTAAACCCTAACTTGTCCATTTTCCCTTTGTCGTTGGTCCACCATCTCTGCCGCAGCAATGTCGGGTCTTCGTCGCCCTCTGTTTAATCCCGACAGCACTCCAATCGTGGTTATCGGTAAGTTCATCGCCTCCTTATGGTGTAGGAAGATTATTAAATTGAGAGGGTTGGTTTGTTTTACTTTAGAGAGGGTAATATTGCTGTGGAATAACCTATTTGATGCTGAAATTACATGAAAATAGTTTGAAATGGTAGTAGGGTTTAGGGTTTAATGTTGTGATTTGTTGCGTTTGAGTTAGGGTTCCTTTGTTTTTTCTATTTAAGATTTGGCTATATGTGTTCTTTTTTATGTGTGTTAGGCTGAAATTGTGTGTATGAACGACATTTTTGGTTACTATTATGGTTGCAACATGATTTGTTTGGATGGCAATTTCAAACCCTAACTTCTCCAGTTTTCCTCTGTCGTTGGTCCAACATCTACGCCACATCAACCTCTCCTCTTCGTCGCCATCTGTTTGCTCCCAACAACATTCCAATCATTGTTTTCGTTAAGTTCCTTGCTTCCTTATGATGTAGGAAGATTATTAAATTGAGAGGGTTGGTCTGTGTCACTTTACAGAGGGTAATATTGTCGTGGAATAACCGATTTGATGCTGAAATGACTTGAAAATAATTCAAAATGGCAGTACGTTGGTGGTTTAATGTCTTGATTTGTTGCATTGCATTTAGGGTTGCTTTGTTTTTTGCATTTTATGTTTGGCTAGGTGTGTTCTTTTTTATGTGTGTTAAGGCAGAAATTGTGTGTATGGACTGCATTTTGGGTCATTGTTATGGTTGCAATGGTGGCTGGAATTTCATGTGTTTATGATTGCATTTTTTGTTGATCTATGCATGTATTGGTGGTTGAAATACTATGTATATATAGTCAATTGACTTGGCAAGGTAATTGAAATGCTGAAATTGATTTATCGTTGGAATTTTGTGTGCATTCGGTAATTATTTGAATAATATTGTGGTTGGAGCTTTGGCATGTCTGGGTTACTTGTGCTTTGGGTGATATTGCTTTTCTTTGGACTGTTTTAGGGGGCATCTACATAGATTTTTGGCTGCACGGTTGGGGTGGGTTTAGCATGGTGAGATGATGGTGTTAGTTGGTATAAATTTATAGGTATTCGGCATGTGAGTGTGGCCATGTTTCCAAACTGGAATAAGTTGTTATTGTTATTATTAGAAATGATGTTTTTAAGTTGTTATTGTTATTATTAGAAATGATGTTTTTAGTCGGTATAAATTTATGGGTATTTGGCATGTGCTTGTGGCTATGTTTTAATTTTTGAATAACTTATTATTGTTATTGGTTAAGCTTAGGGTTTTCGGTGTTAACGTCATAATCTGAAAATAGATTTTGGTGTCATCAACCTTTGTGAAACTAGAAAGATACCTTCCAACCTCTTCTGACTTCCTATCAAGTACCTAAGCTGAATATTAAAAGCCAAAAGGCCTGAATATTATCAGCTAACAAATTAAGAAACTCAATGAAAACAAATATACAACCATATAGTATAGATGCTCCTTCAACTGATGATAACCATACAGTATAGTCGACCCCACATACTTTTCACTTCAGACACAAGACAACGAACAGGAGATGCCTCAATTTCTACAAACAAATAAATCAATATAAAGATTATAAATCTATTCACATTCTCCTTTGAAGTGCAACCCAATGATGTGATAACAAAAGGTAATGCACTCCTTAGTTA